GAGAGAGAGAGAGAGAGAGAGAGAGAGAGAGATAGACAGACAGACAGACACAGACAGACAGACAGACAGACAGAATGAGAAAGAGAAAGAGAGAGTTTAAGAGCGTGGGTATTTCCACCGATTTCCCCCAATCTTATCCTCCTTTGCTCCACCACAATCACTTAATCCGATCCGAGACTTGGGCACACTGGCCAGTGTCTGGCATGAGGCGTGCTCACAAAATTACAAGACGACAAAAAATCTAAAAAGCCAATTTGTCTTGAAACCGTCCCCTTTTCTCAATTTGCATACATACGACAGATCATGAGAGTAGTTAGATTTAAATGTATTTCTGCATTGTGCATTCATCGTTTAGAACGTAAGAATTTTGACTGGCAGTTCAGTTTTGCCCGAGTTAATGAAACTGATTTATATTAGAAGATTAGAACACTGAAATTTGAAAAGAAAAAAAATGTCCAAAATTTGAAGACAAGAGTTTTTCAACAGCATGGCTCAATACTACCATACTGTGTTAGTGTAAATCTAATAGGCTCACATCAGTTCTTCTTTTTTGTCTTTGCACATGACAGACTCCATCACTGATATTTTCTAACCACATGTGAGTGGTTGGCAGGTGCTGTAGTGTGGTTTGCTCCTTTTTTCCTATCAAACATCTATCGTCCTGATCTCTCCTCCTTCTCTATTGTGTCTGGAGGGGCTGTATGTCCGAGCAGACAGCTCAATAAAACATCAGCCTCCGTCAAGATGCCATTCGGGCGAAGGGGAAAAAAATTGACAGGCTGCTGGAGAGGTTACTTTTAGTTTTAGAAAGGTTTTACAGCCCTCGCAACTGCTGGAGGTAGAGGGCCAAAAATGACAAGAGCCACGAACAACACAGAAAGGAATTAGTCATCAGCTATTGGTGGCAAGTAAGGAAACTAGTCTAGCTTTCTGTACAAAATCTAACGTAAAGATGACGTGATGAAGTTGCAGCTGCCTCAAATAACTCAACCTTCTCTGAAGAGAACTAAGAGTGCAAAAATGTGTGAAATTGTAAAGAGATATATATATATAATACAGTATAACACGGATAGGTCAAACACAGAAGACTCAAAAACACACATCTGTCGAATTGTGCCTGCGGTCCCGTTTTGTCTTCTTCTTTTTTATCTTTGTAAGATATCCCTTGAACTATGGATCCCTCAAACTACCAAAGCCTGTCCCGACGAATTCGAGCTATCCGTAATAAATTGTGTAGTAATAGTACTGAGCCAAATGGGAAAAATTTGTGTCATGTAAACTGTTTTTCCCATGGGCAGATTGGACCGAGATAAGCCAAGCGGTCATTTGTTCAAAAGACTGACTTAGGTGGCGGATAGGGAACGGCCACTGTAATGGAGGTTAGCTGTGAATATGTTGAATAAGCAGCCCTGGACCAACTGATGCTCTTACCAGGATGGGGTGAGGTGGTAGGTGGCGCTACCACGTCATTAAATGCCCTAGGAGTCCTCTGACGGGAGCATCATGCGAAAAAGGACGGCATTAAGTCCTGGCTACGGGTGGGATCCGGTAACAATTCCTCCCTGTGCTCCCAGGGTAGGTCCTTTGGACCTGGAGCTGGAGTGCTGAAATCGGAGGTATTGGGCCGCAAGGCGCACTCTAGAGAACCACAATATCACGTAATACTGCAATAAATGACACTTGAAGTAGGTAACGTTAGATATGGTGCTCGCCCTGTGAGGACCCACCAGGCAGGTGCAGTGCCGGGCCCCAAGCCTCGAAGGGGTCCACCCCAGCGACTGGAGGGCCTTCCATCGTCTTGGAGTGCCAGGAACACATCCTTCAGCACTGCAAGACACACAGGGCCCTGAGACAGGAAACGTGGCCAACCCCACTGACGCTGCAAGAGAAGCTATATGGGCCGACAGATGAACTGAGCAGGATGGCCCAATTTATGACAGATACCAGACTTCAAGTGTGATGCGATTGAGAAGAAGAAGAAAACTGACTAAGAGACTTAGATATAGACAGACAATAGAGAGGAGGCTCAACTGTACTCATTGTCTAAAAGAATAAAATGCACAGCAATGAAGGCAGTTATAAAAACAAGGGTAAGTTAAGTATTTTTTTTATTTAGACAAAGCTGTAACAAAAACCATGAACAGGCTTCCAGAGCACACATCAACACATTCTCTCTCTCTCTCTCTCTCTCTCTCACCACCACTTTCATTCATCTTCTTGCATGGACACCCTAACACTAACAACAGCAAACATACTCCACATTTACCAAAATACATGACGATGGCAATTTCATTCAAAACATTCGCAGAAAGTCACCCTGAAAAACAAAACCTGACAAGACAGACTCTATCTCTCTCCCTGTTTCTCATCTCCCCCCTCTCACTCCCTTTTTCCCTCCCCCCCCTTCCTTCCTCCTCCCCTCCCCCCCTCTCTCTCTCATCTGGCAGGCTGGCTCATGGCTGCCTTGTGGAAGTCGTTGAAGAGGTCCATTGTTCATTTAGATCTAGTTTACATCCATGCAATCACATCACCATCACTCTCTCTCTCTCACACTCCCCCCCCCCTCCCTCCCCTCTCCCTCATCTGGCGGGCTGGCTCATGGCGGCCTTGTTGCGGAAGTTGTTGAAGTGTTCCAGGTACTGCAGCATGGCCATGGTGGGTGTGAACGTCTCGTCCATCCTGGGCTTCAGCGTCTGCGGCGGGGTCTCTGCGATGTTTCCCACAATGCTCTGCAGCAGCTCCTTCATCAGGTTCCAGCACTCCATGGCCACAAGTGATGGACTGTACTCCACCTGGAAGCAAATGGAAAAGAACGATAGGAAAAGAATTGTCACAAAATGCCTAAACAAAGAGGGAGGTGGAAAAGTCAAATCAGTTCTAACGACCATCTCTTCGAGACAATCATATGTGCAATACCCCATTTTCCCCCTAGCATTTATTTTCGATATGTCAAGTGTGTTGACAAAATGAGTGACTTCTCCAATTCAGGCCCTATGGAAATAGGTACACCATAGTTTTTACAATTTATAAGTATGAAATAATAAAAAGCATGTTCTACTTAAAGAATACGGCATCAATAAAAAATCTACAAATTTGACCCTAGTGTCGATTTTGGGCCGATATCTCCATTTGTGGAAAGCGAGAAGTAACTCATTTTGTCAGCATGCCTCACATATTATAATATACGTTAATGACATTGTCCAAAAGTTCCACCTGTATGAAAAGACCACTTTTCTCATCAACAACAGATGAACTTCTTGGACAGTTTCAACCGAATACAGAATGGTTTAGGTCAAAGGCCTCCTTCAGCTCTGAGAGGTCATTCATTTTAATGGGCAAGACCCCAAAATTAAATGCCCATCTTCAGCAGGACTGAGACAAGCTTTTGAAAATTCTCCAAAAACTCAAGTTCAAGAACACACCACTGGGGATTCCAACAACAGCACAGAATGATACAAATGCATGTAGCAAACTACGCTATCGGGCTGTCCCCGTCGTTTTATGCAAAAAAGATTCTGAAATTATGAAAACTGAGCCCAAAAATGTGAAATTATGGGATTCTGTTAATTTTAACAAAGAATGATAAAGGAAAATAATCAGAAATTATGCACAAATGATCAAATTTTGCTAAATTATGCGGGGTGCATAAAAAAACACGGGGACAGATTGGGAAAAACGGCACACAAATCAGCAGTAGTATATAGGCCCTATATACCACAGGGGGGAGCCCAGATTTTCCAAGTGGAATATTGTCATGGTTGGGGGTAATGATGAAACCTTTACGGTATAGAGGTAGGCTTATACAAATACAAGGGTACAACAGCATCACAACAAGGCCCGACTCCATTTCTCACATTTACTGAAAGACTGTCCCCCACTGCTTGACTCTTGAGTACGCAAATGAGATTATGGTCATATGTAGACATGCTACGAGGAAAGTCTGAAAAGATTTATCACCCCATTGACAGCAACATCAAGAAAAGAAAAAGCATAAAAGCAAGCATGAGGACCCCCCAACTTGAAATAATTTTTCAAGCGCAACATGTTCCAATTATCAACAACAAAAAAAAGAAAAGAAAAGAGAAAAGATAGAAAAAAATGCAATATTGAATATATGAACGATTTTAAGGGACCGTAAACAAAAGGTAGAATTAGCAATACTGGTACACATGCAAAGAAGACATGAGAAACTGCTCCTGTGAGGAAAGATGAAGGAAGAGAAGAGCAGATGAAGACAGAGAACAACACGCACAGACGTCCTGAACAACTTTATGACAAACAGAACAATGTAAAAAAACAGAGATGATTAGGAAGACAGACAACAGGATGGGATGGGGAACCACGATCATCAATATCTGCTCCAGACCTGACACCGGAGGAAGAAGGTAACCTACAAAGGAAAATTCTTTAAACTAACAAAATAAAAAAGCGTCATGACGTGCAAAAACAAAAAGTCGCACCTCCACAAGGATTCCTTTGAAGCTTCCTGCGAGCGACACGGAGCCGATCTTCAGAACAAAGTCGGCCAGCTGATACCTCTGGCCTTTGGATTCTATCTTGGCTCCTTTCCGAGCCTGGTAGTAGTTCTTCAGGTTGGACATGAGCCCGTTGAAGAGAGTGTCGGCCACCAGCGTGTTCCCGGAGTCCAGTATGGCGAAACACGACGCCGGGTGTTCACTGTTGTGCAGGATGTGAAGAGTCTTAGGGCCTGCCGAGAACATACATGAATACAACATATCAAATACCCTAGATTAGACATATGAAGAAAAATATAAAAACTAAAATTTCGGCTGGGAACAAAAGTTTAGCTGAATTTGGTACAGTGCAGCCTCTCTCTAACGACCTTCGATATAACGACATTCTCGACATTCTCAGTACAGCGACGTGGTGCCCAGGTCCAGGTCTTTACCTTATCTGATCTATCATTGGTAATGTTTTTGGTTGCCTCTCAAAGACGACAACTCTCTACAACAACATTTTTTCTGGCCCCGGTGATGTCGTTATACAGAGGCTGCACTGTACTACAACTGACTTTGAGTAAAAACCTGTAGGAGGAAGAAGTAGGTCCACACAGGAGGCGGCAGAGAGTTTTAAAAGTCAAGAAAAGTTCAGAGCAAGAGTTTAGTTTTGACTACCCTTCTTGTTATTCAGAGCTTAAAATTTTGGGATTCTTTTCACATGATCAACTGCTGTAATGAAACTTTGTGAAAAAAACTTTCTGTTATTCTTAACTTTTCAGGATCTAAAGAATTCAAGAAAGGACTAACCACTAAACTTTTAGCATACACCCGGTATTATCTGACCAAGCATAAATTTGCCTTGTGGTTGTGGCTACATGGACCAGTAATTATAGTTAGTAAATTACTTTAGAAAAATGGGATCATGGTAATCGTTATATATAAAATAATATTATATTCATCATTGTAGCAACAAAATATAAAGCTGAACTTGTACGAGCTAAACTGTAATTACAACTTACTGTTTAGCATAACAGACTGATATGTTTCACAATCTATGTGGAAGTTGCCAGTTTTGTAGGCCCCCATGGTCTCCACTTGCTTCTGCAAAACATCCACAACCTGAGCTCCACTTCTGCCATCTGGTACCGGGTAGTCATAAACACTGAGAGGAAGAGAATTCATCAATATTTATGAAAAGTTAATAACATCATTGTAGTAACTTAAAGAGGGCATAAATCTTTTTTTTGTTTTTTTTGGGTCAAGCTTACTGTTTTACTAGTTAGTTAGTCACGGCACCTTCTGTAACCGACCTCATTTTCAATAGTTAACCTCAAATTTTGAGGTGGTAAAGCAGCAGTACCTGAGGATTTTTTAATCTACAGAACAATCATTTTAATCCATTCTCTGATAAATCAACAAAGTCCACAGCTGCAGCAGCATGAGCCATCCTGTGTTCCAAAATCGACAACTACCCCCCCCCCGACCCAATTTTTGCAATCACAACCAGCTGCATCTGGGATTTTCCTGGTGAGATCTTTCAGTTACGGTACTGCAGATATATCTTGATTGCCTTGAATCAGTATCAGGCTAGGTAGCTAGAAAGAAAGTTACAATTGTCTGTGAGAGGTTTTTTTTTTCATTTACCTCTTGGACCTAGGCTTACCTGGTCAGAAGGAGAAACTGGACATATGTAATATGATTGTTTTTATCATTGATGAGAATTTAAATCCTACTCTAGAATTCTAGATCTAGTTGTTGAAATGAATGTCAGATGGTGAAAACGAAGTGTAATAAAAATAAAAGAAGAATAGATCTAAAACTAAAGTAAAACAGTGATGAGGGGACCATTCTCGACTGACCAACCAGGCCTGGAATTGAGAAAAAACACTACAGACATTAGTCCGAGATCAATGAATAGAAGATGAATATTAGGAAGCTCTATATATATACACATGACATGATCAAATGAATCGTTCATGATGATACACACAGAGTAAGTTGAGAGTGAGTTGCACTTGCATTTAGTTGCAGTAACACTTTTTGCAGTGACTATGTTCATGGCGCCATGCACATAGTTTGCAGGCTACATTCATGGTAATCATCCACCATTGGCACAGAGGCACGACTGAAACACTACAGTCGCTCAAAGTGAATGAGGAAACAGCACAGGAATACCCATGTGAAAAATAATAATGCAGAGGTGGTCTGATTGTGCGACGGATTACGGCGGGCGAAGGCAGGCACAGCAAAACAGCCGCGGTCGACAAGGCCTTGCTCGCTCAGCGCACGGAACACGACTTCGATCCTCTTCCTGCGTGCGGACTCGGCAACATTCGACAATTTGGAAATTGGTCATTCGAAGAAATAAGGCCAAGGGAGAATGGAAGAAGGCCAAGATGGGAAAAGGGGTGATAGTGGGGTGGAAGGACTTCTGTAACGAGCCACCACCCCATAAAACACAAATAAAGAAGAGGCCTAACCCAAACCCTAACCCTGTCCCTAGCCCTACCCCTCCTACTCCTAGCCCTCAATTCTGCTCTGTCTCGTAGTGGTCGCTCGTTACGGAAGTCCTCCCAGTGGGGCTAAAAAAGAAGCAAAAGGGAAAAGGGTAGCCTAGGGGGTGAAGTGAGCAAGATAACTGCAAACTAAAAACTACATTTAGGAGGGCGCCGTGAACGTCGCCTGCAAATTGCAAACTAAGTTCACTTCACGGCCCACGGCGTCACTGCGAACACTTTTAATATTTAATACTTACCATGAAACTCCCATGGCAGATACTTTTCTCAAATTTAGATCTAGCTTCTTAGACACGTTTAAAAACAAAAGAAATCCAACGAGAATTAGTTTCACACCGAGTGCTTCATCCCAGTCTGATGCCTGAAGGATGGTTTTAGATCTGTCTAGATCTAGAGTCTAGAGTTACTTTGTAAGCTGTCTCGCCGTTTTTTTTCTCAGATAATTTGTATTTCGTTTTATTTTTAGATCTATCCATCACGCAGTTATCTGCTCTTGTCCCTCCTGTAGCTTAAAAAAGAGAAACGCTACTGGACACGAGATAATATCATATTATGTTATTATTATCATAATATTATTATTTTTGCACCATAGATAGTTTTTAAAATTTCTTTCTTTCTAAATTAAATAAAAATTTGAATTATTGGGTATAGTTTATTTTGAATTTATAACTAAAGAGAAAAAATACAATTCTGTTGGAAATTATTTATTTCGGCTGAATAATAGTATTTGTTTTTAGATTAGGAATCAGCGTCGCTCAAAATAAGAGCGCTTCTTGCATTGCCAGGTTGTACTTAACCTACTTTCTCTTTCTGGGACGAAGTTCGATTACGGTTACGCTCAGGGGTGGTGACAATGGCATTGGTGGTTGAAATAAATTGGGGGACTGAGGAGAAGTTTGTTGTATTGCAGAAGCTATGGTCAGTGAAAATGAGTTAATTAGCAGCGGTAGAAGTTAATCCCAAAATGAATTTTATAAACAATCAAAGACAGCTTTTAATTTTATCTACCTGATTTAACATGATCCGCGTTATATAATTTCAAATTTTTGTAGCTCTTTTCCCGATGGCCGAGTAAAATTATCTTCAGGAGGCTTTTTTTTACAAGCTGAACTTACATTCAAGGACTGCAGTGGTAAAAAGATCTAAGCTGCACATTTTAAAAGTATAAAAAGTCTAAACCTCTGTGTTTTGCTAGAGAAAAATATAATATTAGCAGCGTCTTTATTTTGGCGGGGTTTTTCTACATTTTCTGTTTGAACCGTTCGACAACCACTGGCCAACCGGAACAACGATTCTTTCACGCTGTTTTCTTCTCTCCGGCTCGTTCGTTGTCTTGAGAAGGCAACAGAACAATTTTCATCATGGCAGCTGTAAGTTCCTGGAAAGAATCTCTTGATGTTATATACTGTTATCGGTTTTATATAGATCTCTAGATCTAGGTTATTAAAGAAATTACAATAGGTCTGCCCTACTCACACAGTATCACATTTTTTTACAGTTGAGAGTGAGAGCCATTGTTCATTGTTGATGTTGTTTTACTGTGGACCGTGGAGACAGACACGGTGGGAGTGGGAGTGGAAAGTTCACGGTTCTACCTGACCTGGCTTACTACACTTAAAACTAAGACTGATCTAGATCTAAATTAGTCAGGACACACACCCATACACACACACACACACACACAGCTTTCAACATAATGAATTGCCTACAGTACAGTCAAATAAATTGAATGAGAGTCAATGAGAGTGATTATTTTCACAGGGGGTGAGGCGAGGGTACTATGGGGAGGACTTCCATAACGAGCGACCACTATAATTATTAAGACTGCAGAATTGAGGGGTAGGGGTAGATCTAGGGTTAGGGTTAGGCCTTTTCTTGGTAAGATTGAAGAATACCGGTCCAGCGGACTGACTTTGCCTATGTCTCAACCTTAGGAATTCATAATTTTCCCGTTTTTTATCTAGAGTACATCCTGTGGTGCGATATACAGTAAGCGATCTTTTGTGGATATCTCTGGAAGTTACAGGTCGATCTTCATGATTTTTTCACCAGAAGTTAGAAAAACTTCCTCTCTATACGGTGTAGCGCATTACTGTAACAGAAGTTTAAAATTTCTATATGTTGTGGTGGTGTTTGTTTCGTAACGTGTGTCTGGTTTGGTGCGCAAGGTTTCTGGTTTGGTGCAACATATCGTCTTGTTGGGTGCGCAATAGTACCATGTTTACAGCTCTAGATCTAGATCTAGCTCTTTTCTGACACTTTTCATCTTTCTCTATCCTTGCTTTGTCTTCTTTTCCTTGCAAGAAGTTCCTGTACTGACCATAATGGAAGGCCAAGGTCAATTAGGCGTGTTCTTTTTGGGAGCTGTGCGCCCCCTAACAGGAGATTTCCTTACACCTTGTGTATGTGTTTTGATAATGGATAAAAAGAAAGGTGCTGTGGACACAAGAAGGGGAAAGAAGAAAACAAGAATAAGACTATACCTAGACTAGTATTTTAGAAGGAAAAGGACAAAAAAGAAGAAGAAAAAGACGTGAAAAGAAGAAATTGAAAAAGAAAGGTGCTGTGGACACAAGGAAGTGAAAGAAGAAAACAAGAATTAGACTATACCTAGACTAGTATTCTTTAAGGAAAAGGGGAAAAAAGAAGAAGAAAAAGACATGAAAAGAAGAAATTGAACATTTTGGAGATTATATTTCCATATTAATTAATTTTGACATGAATACATTAACTTATCATCTTCCAATGGCAATATAATGCATCCAAATGGAAGGAAAACAGTCTGTTTCAGTGCACAATGCAGGTCATAGAGAAATAACTTCATAAGTAAAACAAACAAAGGGCCTAGAAGCCACACTATCAATGCCAAATAGCAAAAAAGCCGATATTGCGCACGAAACGGACTGCCCAAATTTGGTCCGCTTCAGTGCGCAACCCTATCTAGCACGTTCCTGGGCTTTAAGAAGCAGCCTGCGATAGTATTTAAATCGATTCTAGTATACATTCTACGATACATTAGAGCTAGATTAGCTAGATGTGCTAAATAATCGACTACTCAAGCGCTTAGTAGTAAATTGATCGATACCGTTTACGAAAACCATTAATATGAAGGGGCAAAACTTTCCGACACCGTAGAATCACGTGTGTTGACAGGAACCTCCAAAACGAAAGTGAAATAAGCTGCATTCTGCGCATGCTCACAGAAAATGACCTCGTTTTCGCTGTTCTTATCCAAAACAAAGCAGGAGACCGGGGGTTGCGCACCAAAACAGTAGCGCGGTGATGCGGGCCTACTGTAGATCTAGATCTAGATTTCCATCTCTCAATGGAGAATCTCAGACCGGTAGATCTATTCATTAATATTTTGTCAGGGGGGAGACCCCCCTGAACCCCTCCTCCACCCCAACCACCCGCCCCACCTACCCCACATTCTCGCGCAATAATGTACGAGTGGTCCGGTATTCTTCAATCTTCCCCTCTTCTTTATTGTGTGTTTGATGGGGTGGTCGCTCGTTACGGAAGTCCTTCTGAGGATATACTGGATTTGAGAATAAAATTGATAGTCTGCTATTCTCACGCGGTTTTTTTCGTTTCCGCCGTTTTTGTCTTGTGTTGTAAACGCTGTTTTTCGTGTGTGTTTTCTCTCAGGCCAGGTGGGTAGGTTTGGGATACGGTCTTGCTCACCGCTTTACCGGTGGCTAGGCATACGGGCAATTTTACGCACTTTTATAAAGTTAAAAAATGATTTAAAAGATGAAAATTAACAAGAAAAGAGCTATGAGTGTGAAGTGATCATGATAGTAATTTTGAGGCTGCTGTTCCGTTGCATTGCGATGTAGGCTAATGACAAACAATGGTTCTTATAATTTTCTTTTTCTTTTTTGTTGCAGACACTGCCTATGAACCCGAAGCCCTTTCTCAATGGGCTGACGGGCAAACCAGTAATGGTGAAACTGAAGTGGGGCATGGAGTACAAAGGATATTTGGTCTCTGTTGATGGTTATATGAACCTTCAGGTAGGCCCTACTTACCGTGAAATATTACTTTTCAGAATGTGTGCTTGTCCTCCCTGAAAGGCCCCCCACCCCAGAGGTTCTGAAAGATCTCTGTTCAAGGGAAATTCTGTGAAAAGAGTTATGCTCTTGTCAAGCTTGTATTTCTTAAATATTCCCTAATTAGCAGAGCATCATAAAGACTGTCTTCTGATGCAAGTCAATGATCTAATGGTTAGGCTGTGAGGCTCTTAGTCTCAAGGTCTTGAGTTCTAACCCTGTCACGGCCCCCAACATCATGTCTTTGGGAAAAACATTTAAGGTGAATTTATTTTCTTGACTTCACCCAGTTGGGAATGGGTATTCGGCTATAGATCTAGATCGTGAAGGATCTTGTACACATTTGTCAGTTTTCTGGATAAATCTGGATTTCTCAAATTATCCAGATATTGCACAGAGGTCCAAAAAGTTCCAAAAAAATTCTTCCCTGCCTGTCAGCTTATTGCTTTTTCTGTTCTTAATTGGCTGCTTACATTTTATGCTTCCCAGAAAGCCAAGGGTGTTTCTGAGCGTCTGCTAGCGTAATGATAGATGTACAGCTCGTAGACTGCTCCAGAGCACAAACACAACGTATACCGTAATTATTGAGACAAAGATTTTTGATGATGTGACTTTATTTTTTAGGCTAGATCTCAAGTATCATTGTACGTATAGATTTAAGAGTAGACTACATACTTAATATAGTTACAAGTGCTACTGGTGCTAGAAGTGATACCGTATTTTGTTTTTCCCTCATTTTTTTGTGTGCATGTTTTCCATTTTTGCCTGGGTTATTGCTACCGCGAGTCTGTAAAATGTAACTTTTTGTTAACTAGTATTTAAAAAATAATATTCTGATTTGTGCCTCTTTCGTTCTTTCAGTTGGCCAACACTGAAGAGTACATTGATAGTCAGCTGGCAGGAAATCTGGGAGAAGTCTTAATCAGGTATGTACATGTCTTTACCTTAAAGCTTTTCCATAAACTACAAGGGTTGCATTGTGAGTGATTGTAATCTCCATAGTTCACAACCTTTGTTGTTATTGGTCCCCTCTCTGACAGCCTCACACCTGCTTGCCAAGCACCATTTTCCTGACCCAGGGCAAGGAATATACAGTATAACGGATAGGTCAACACAGAAGACTTGAAATCACGTGTATCCTTTGAAATGTGCCTTCTTTTTTTTTCCCCTTCTTTTATCTTTGTAAGATATCCCTGGAACTACAGAGACCGGTCCCGGTGCATTCGAGCTATCCGTGTTATACTGTAGCTGGAAAAGGTTATGCCGTCCATAATTGAAATGTTGATTGCAATCAACTTAGTTTTAACGCATGATGCATAGCTGCTAACTGGTAGGCTATGTGGGAAAATGTTTTTAATGCGTTTTTGAAAGTCTGGGGTGATTACAGAAGTCTGTTTGTATTTTTGGAAATGACGTATTCTGTTTTCTATCTTGTTACTGACTTGCCAATACTGAAGTAAAATTATGAACTTTCAAGACTGGATTCGCGTGGAAGCATAGAGATTATTGTTTTAAAATTATCACATTAGTGTTGCTTTTGCAGGTCTCCTTGAAATAGCTTGAATGTATTTAATGGTTGTTTGAGAATTATCACATCAGTGTTTCAGGTCACCTTGAAATAGCTTGAGTGTATTTAATGCAGAAAATGTGTGTGAGAATTTGGAGGGGGACACTGGGTCTTTGCACACAATTTTGGTCTGTGGTATTTGGTAGAATCGGAATGGGGGGCGGGGGTTTAAAAATTGACACCTGTGTGTAAATGGCTGAAACTAGATTACAATAGTCTATAAAGAAATTGATGAAAGCTTTTTATGAAAAGCCAACATGTTTGCTTCCTTTAAAGCCCTGTCGACGTGGGTGGTTGGTGTGGTTTGCTTCTTCTTTCCTATCAAACTATCGTCCTGATCTCTCCTCCTCCTTTTTTGTGTTTGTTACTCCCTTGTAACACCTCTAATCTTCAGCACTTATACTTTATTGTGTTGCAAGTGCTGTAAAACTCTTACAAAACAAAAACCCTGTCAAGTGGAGATAAACACTTTTTTCTTGTAATAATACCAACAAAGTATGAAATGTATTAGTGAGCCCACCAGAAGTTAAACTCTCCAATTCCGTGACTGTTCAACTTACACATGCCATGTTGTGATTTGCTCGGTATGACTTTCTACTTTTGACCTATCCGGTTGTGTATCATTTTTTATGTATTTGGTACAACTAAAAAAGTGTTATTTTATTCTAAATGTAAATAAATTAAGTTAAGACTTCGAAATCTTCACGTCAGACCCTGTTGTGGTCAGTAGCCGTGTCAATTCGGTCTGTGGACTTGTTGTGGAAAAGACACTCGTGCTGATTTCTATTCTGAAGGCCACTTTTTAGTGCATGCTGTGTTGTCACTGAACTGTCACTTTGCTGAAAGTGGACAAGAATTTACTTGCACTGGTGAATACTAAAGGTGTATCCTCCCCCCCTCCCTCCCTTAATAACGGATTGGCCCACTGATCCAGGGCAAAGTTCTACTTTCCTGTCATTGGCAGAACATGTTTTATTGACTTGACTGCTTAAGCTCAGTGTAAGACTTTGTCATGTATGCCGTTTTGAAAAGTGACATCTGACGTAGACTTACACTGAGAAGTCAGTATTCTTTCTGTGGGGACCTGAATTTTGACCGTGTCGTGTGTTGAGAATGTGAGTTTTTCTGAACTTTTGTTCATCCTTACTAGCAGTGCACTGTGTACTCTGCCTTTGATTCAGCGTACCGGTGTCGTCACTGTCGCAAGGAAAATGAATACGATTGCCCTAGTAGTTTTTACTAAACTTGTTCAGCAGGGTCAAAGTCAAACAGGGTCACTCATTTTCCTTCCGCCAATGGCGATTTTTAAAAAAAGATAGCCTATATATATTGTTTTTTTTGTGCCTTGAAAAAATGTGCTGTAAATGTTTGTCTCTCTGTTTGGTCGTGGCAGGTGCAACAACGTCCTGTATATCCGGGGAGTGGACGAGGAGGATGAGGAAGGGGAGACCAGAGACTGAGAGGACACTGCTCTCCTAAATCTCCCGGACCAGACAGCCGGGATTGTTGTGTCGGTGAACGTTGTCGCCCAACATGAGGGATGTGTGTGTGTGTGTCGTAACAGTTTCGTGTCGGTTTTGTCTGTTGTGTGCGTTTTTTTCTACGAGTTGTCTGTAAATAGATATTGATGATGATGAGAACCATGATACATTTCATTCTGATGAGAACAACCTGACTCCTAAATATCTTGATACCAGTATGTGGGGTTTTTTCCCCTTTTTTCTTTGCATCATTCTGTTTTTGATGGAAGAAAAGGATCTCCATTTTCGCTGTTGTGTTCATTGTTCATTGTTGGTATTTTTTTCCTCAGCTATTGTCATTTGTTCTACGTTGGTGTTACATATAGTTTAGTTCTCGATGTTGTTCAATTGATATCATTAAAAGCCACATTTCATTGTTTCATAAAATAAAAACTTTGGACAGGTTTTGCTAACCACAGCAAGTGATTGAAAAGTACTTTCACCTCTAGTCGGAAAGAGAAAGAGAGGGGTCTCATTTTCTGCACATAATGTTGCAGCTTTTGTATGTTGCTGGGGTAGACAAAAAGTAACATTTTTGGTCATTCTTAATAATGCCTTCTAATCTTATTGTGATGCTGCCCCTACAGTCAATTTTTGGTCTAGATTTTTTTTTCCCTTAAGTTAAACATTACTCACGGAAAGCCTGCTGTGGTTACACCATGCAGCTGCTGTTTGCAAACTGTTGGCACTTGATAACTTATGGTACAACTGTTTTCATTCATCATTTTCATTCATTTTCCTCATCGACTGCATCATATATATTTAGTCCTCATATTCATATATAATATTCATATTAGTTTTGTGTTCATGAATGCCATTCTCATTGTTAAGTAGCTCCATCTCCATATTTTGATGTTGTATTTTCATGATGAACAGTACAGTCTGACTCTGTAAAGCAATGTTATCCACGTTGGTTTTTTTCGTTTTGTTTTTAAACACACAAACACTTTTGACTCATGCTCCATTGAAAGTTTGGACGATACCATTTTGGATTCACAAATACATGTACTACCATTCCACATGTTTGATCAACTTCACCAATCAAATTAAAGTTTCGATCTTTGTACATGTTATCAGTTGTTTTGCTTATTCTTTCGGGTTCGATTTCCAGTCAGCTGACATTCTATTACTTCTTTCTTCTGCTTTTTTTCTCTGAGATTATATTAGTTTAGAAAATGTAGGTGTTTTACACTCTCATTGATACAATTTAGATGAGGTAGGCTTCAACTTGTCAGGGCCAACCGGGGCTGAGAGGGTTACAGCGTCTCAGCAGACAAACAAATACTCGATAAAATTCACCCCCCATTACGGGATTGAACTCAGTTGTTTGGTGTGCAACAGGGAAGTGCCTAACCGCTCCACCACAAATGTGGAATGTGTATGAAACGGCTTAGATGTTAAAAGATTTTTTCATTGGGTGCTTGTTATTTCCACCAAAATAACTGTTGGCCTACACTTTACACACTCTGGGTCAGCAGGTGGTTTAGGGCGCCACTGACACTATGTCACACTTCTTAAATTCTATCTGTCTTGTCTTTTCACATTTCTGTACTATATCTTTGTGGGTGGTTGGCGGGTGCTCTTGTGTGGTTTGCTTCTTCTTTCTCTATCAAACATCTACGTCCTTATCTCCCCTTCTTCTCCTTTATGTTTATTACTCTCCTGTAACAACTAATCTTCTGGTGCTCATAATTATGACCTTAAATGCAGTTGCGAGCACCGAAAAACGTCTATGTACTTAATTTAACTAAAACTGTACTAGATTTATACCTATCTCTTTTCTTTCTGTCTGTCTTGTCGCTATTTTTTCTTGCTCTAGACAAAGCCAAGTATTGTTTCAATAATATGCTTCTCTTTTCTTTAATAAACTTACGGGGTTGGGGGGGGGGGTTTACTTAAATTTTTGGGGCTTGTTTTTTTGCCACTTTATGTGATTGGCCCATGAATGATCAGGGTTCATTTCCAAGTCCAGTACACCCTTGGTACCGGTACTTCTTCTTTCCTATCAAACATCTTTCGTCCTTATCTCCCCTCCTTCTTTTTTGTGTTTGCTCCTCTCTTGTGACACCTCTAATCTTCGGCACTTATATGACCTTATTGTGTTGCAAGTGACGTAAAAAACCTACTAAAACTAAAACTCTTGATATTAGTGCCAGGTGTAAATTAGTCGGGGGTTGCAAAAGAGCTACAAACTCAGGACTTTGGGTGCTGGTCAGTAGCCTACCTCTACTGTGGTGTGTAACTGTGAATGTGAACTAATTTGTTGCTGTCACTGACAAAATCTGTGACTGAGGATTGATCAGTTTTTCCTAAGAAAGCCATAGGGATGCCATGGCTTGTGATTAGATGGCAACATGGTTACTGTAAAGTCCTATTTCTTTGCTTTTCCTCTATTGTTTTTGTCTGTCTTGCTCTTCCAAGCACAAAAATGACTTATTGTGTTGATGTTTTTCTCTTTCCTCAAACAAACGGGACTAAGCCCTGATGGTGATGATACAATTACTCAGTCCCAAGCCAAGAGAAGGGGGCACTTGTGGTCAAGAAGTATGGTGTTCACTTCTCTTTCGAAATAATCTAAAGGTCCTGGGTTTGAAACTTGACAAGTCGGTGACCAAAAAATTTATCCTTTCCTGCTCTCTAGCCCTATTTGTCATCTGCTTTCATCTCCACTCCCTTCCCTCCTTCCCCTCCAGCCTTCAATCGGCTCCTCTCTCCTTTACTTCTGACTCTTGGTACTGCTATTTTTGGCTCCTGACTGTCTATCTGTTTATCATCAGCCTCTGCCGCACCCCTGATCTAAGGGTGGGTAAGATTACATCTCCGTCTACGCAGTTTAGGTCATTTAAATTTAAGTATGAGGGATCAGGTAAGACCAAAGGCTCTTCAGGTGGGGAAAAATAACCCACCTAAAAACTTTGTCTTATTATACTTGAAAACACTCGTGCAGAATGCTTAGCAAAAGAGTGCATGGATCATAATGGATGGCCTTTACTTTGCAATATTCGTCCCCCAACTGAGAAGATCCGTGATGTCGGTAGCCTAGTGGTTAGTGTCTGGGCTCCTAATCGTGAGATTGGGGGGTTCGAGCTTTAGTGAGGAACAGAGACTACAGCACTGCCATGGTTTGGGGTGATCTGTGGAAGAATTTTAAAAACGCCCTCTTGAAAATCACCAGATCGCTTGGTTTTAGTGGATTAAATCACACAGGTGCTGAAACGTTATGTGTTACTCTTGCACCCTTATTTTCATCTTGGTGTCATTCAAATTCAAGTAGTAGTAGACAGATATCTCCATGCATGACAAAGCACTTTCTCACAAGGCCAATGCCACAGACAACTCTTGGAAAACCAAATCATACCAACATTTGAGTGGTCACTAGTACTAGATCTAGTAAATACATAGCCCTGATAATGATATGAATCCTCACATGTGAAACCCCATGAAACAACGGCTGAAGAAAATCGATTTTGTTCCCAATTGAGGCCCTTTGTTTGCAACTCTCTATGACATGTGAGACGAACTGACAGATGGATATTTATTATTATTATTATGTCCAAAATTTTAAGAGTCCATGCCCAAAGGGTTTATGCTCTACATAAAACAAATGACTCCTAAACAATTAAATAGTAATGAGCACATTTAATGTTAAGTTTCAGTTTCACGTGATATTTGTGACTGATCTGTTTGAAACTATCGGAATAAACTATAGGGTGGCCTAAATAAGCTAAACCCCCCTCCCTTACCTTATTTTAGGCCACATATGGACCAAATAAACTAAACCCCCTCCCTTACCTTATTTAGGCCATATGTGGCCTAAATAAGCACTCCCTAAACAATACTACATATAGTCATATAGCTTATTGCAGAGACAAATTTCACCATTCATTTGATATACAATGTAATCTCCTTTCTATCAACACTGATGCGCCTCAATACACAACACACTTTTACGTTTCGTTGATTTCGCACAGTTTTAAATTTTGCCAAGTCTGATTTTTTATGGTCAATATTGAGTAACCATATTTCAGACGACTTAAATTAACATAGATGAACTATTAATAATCAATGTGTCAAATGATGCAGAATTTATTAAGCTTTAAATTGGTATGCTGAATGAGTGGGTAGTGTAAGGTTTTACACTTGCAACCTGATGATTGGGTGATTACATTTTCAAGTTTCTTTTGGACGCCACTGGGGGTTTTTTTTTTGGGGGGGGGGGGGGGTAGTAAGAGTTTTACAGCACTTGCAACACAATATATGGTCATGTAAGTGCCGAAGATTAAAGGTGTTACAAGAGAGTAACAAACGTAAGAAAGAAGGAAGAGAGATAAACACTATAGTTGTCTGAAAGGAAAGAAGGATCAAACCACACCGGAGCACCTGCCAACTACCCGCAACACCACTGTATACATGTACAGGTATGTACATAATGATTTGGGAATAGATAAGAACCAGTACAGGTAAATAATATGCCTTTAAATGTTCGAACAAATGAATGAAAATAATAATAATAATACAGTGTAGTAACAAAAAATGTAATATGTCATGATAATATATCAATACACTATTTCTTTAGAACACACGCCATGCACAGACTTTCTTGTAGAAGGGACGCAACTATGTACACCCCAACCATTTATATAGTATTTAACGGTTGTCTCGCTTCCCAATGAGTGTTGGCGAAATGGTTTCGGCTGGCCTTGGCTAGCCGATGTTTCCAAGACTTCATAAAACTTAGACGAGCCCAATAGTATATCAAGCAAATGGATATCTTTTTAAAAAATCTTTCTCTGCTCATATTTTGCTTATTTGAATGTGACAATTATTTCTTGTAAAATTTCTGGTTTTACAATTTTAAATACACGATAGATTCGAACAAGTAGTGGTTTTTGTTTTCGGTTTTTTAACTCCTTTCCTGCAGTTGCAATTACTGCAGAATTGGTGTATACTGCAATGGCGGGTTTCCTGTCCCGTTCATTTGACAAGCTGAAATCTTGGATATACGGCTTGGGTTATACTGGTCTTTGGTTGTTTTGGCTTTGTCTCCTGTTGACAGTTATTTACTTTCTTCGTGTTCCCCTCAAGCTGAGTGAAAACGTGTCTTACGGTAAGTGCAATGCTTATGTTCATGCACTGTTGCACTCTTGTGTGAGCTTGTTCCTGTTGTATGTTTTGTCTACTGCACTGTTCTCAGTCTGCAGCACTTTCGATTCGCTTTACTGTTCTAATCTTTTAGATGTTGAAGCATGCGTTGTTAGGCGAATGCACATGAGCCTTTGCATTAACAATATAAATTAATATTCATCCATTTGCTTCTGGGAGTTTTTGAAATGGAATCCAGAAGAGTTATCAATCACTTCACTTCACTCACTTGGCCTGGGAGAGAAAAAGGGGGGGGGGGGGGCAGTTGTAATGTGGTGGACTGCTGTAGTTGTAGTTCAAATTATTGAGTAGATCTAGTAAGTAAAGTCAATAGAAAGAAGGTAGGTAGAATCTAGATCTAATGGTTGTAGACCCAGACTCAGTAGACGAAATTGTGATTGTTTTCTGAATTGGAATGAATTTTATGTTTGGAAAGACTGCTTCTCTACTAGTACTAGATCTAGATCTAGATCTAATCTAGATCTAGATCTAATCTTTAAAGCTCTTGAATTTCATACTTATGTTACGTTTTCTGTCAATAAGCAAGTGACAGCTTTCTCTTTCAGATTCACATTTAGATCTAAGGGGTGTATTTGACAACCAAACATGCATACATGTATGTAAATAGTGGAATGTAGGCTTCCACGTCCAACTTCTATAAAATTGCGTCACGCTGCCGGTCTATTACTAATGAATTATTTGTCAACGCAGATTTGCAAATACCTCTCTCATTTGTTTGTTTTGGAAAACAATTCCCATAATATAATTTCACCACTTCGTGCCACTTCCATTGATTTGATTGATACAGAGACGATCTAAGGTTTTCAGACACAAACTGCCTGAATTCCTCCAATTCAGAATTATGTTGGGTGCTAGAAGAAACATGTTCACCACTAGTGACGCGAGTTCACAACAAAGAGTAAGAGTGAGC